TTGTGAGGAACTCAAAGTCTCAGTGTTCAGTGCACAAAACTATTAGCCTAATTCAGCCTCCATTAAGTGGTGGAGAGCTGGCAAAGAACCAGCTGGATGGTGAGATGCAGTTATCATGATAAATGGGATTTCTCTTTTGTAAGACAGACAGCCTTGCACCTTCCCACAGGGCAGACTGATGGCATTAAACACAAGGACTTATGAGCTAGCTTTGGCCATGTTCAAAATAAAATATTGTGAACAACTTTCACTCTTCTCAAAAGAGAAGATCTAAAAATAACATGAAACAAACAAACAAAAAATCCTGTCTTGACTACATTGGCAGCACCATGGAAAATATTGATTTCATAACCCTACCCTCAAAATTATCATTTTTATTCAACAATTATTGTTATTTTGAGACAGGGTATCATATACATCAGGCTTGTCTCAAGATCTCCATGTCACAGAGAAGGATAATCAGGTCCTGTTCCTCCTGCTCCCACCTCCTAGTGCTGGGACTACAGGTGTGCACCAACATCCCAAGTGTATGTGGTGCTGAGTACCAGGGCTCTTTGTATAGTAGGCAATCAGCACTCTACCAGCTAAGCTATGTTCCAAGCTCCTGGGAGTAACCTTTAACAGAATTTCTGCTTATCTCTCTTTTCTATGTCTTTAACATCTCTTTCCTGTGTGTATGTGTATTTGTGTGCATGTATGTGTATTTGTGTCTATGTGTGTGCATGTTGATATGTATGCTCATCCACCTTTTTCTATTAGGCCTCTCACTGAACTCGGAGCATGACGCTTTGGCAAGCCTCCCTGGCCAGGAAGCCCCAGAGAGAGATCTCCCTGTCCCTGTCTCCCCATCGCTGGCTTTGCAGGCATGTACCACTATGCTCGTCTTTTTGCATGTGTGTTAGGGATCTAAACCTGGTACTCATGCTTGAGCAGCAAACACTTCACCAACTGAGCAACTCAGCACACACCTTTTAGAGAAATCTGTAAAAGTTACCTTGCCACTGTTTTCAATTTTAAGTAGTCATAGTAACAGGGAAAAAGACTTCTAAAATTATATTTTTGTTAATTAATTTCAGTATAGAGCTGCCTAATATTACAGACTGTGGAATACTTTTACTCTGATATGTTATTTGATCCCAACAAAAATTCTATCAGGTGTTTAGGGTGAGTGATACTTCTTCCATCTACAAAGCAGCTTATGAAAAAAATCTAAGAAAATAAACACACATGTTATCAAAGAGTAAATGGCAAAGATAATTTTCTAAAACACCGGACTGTAGGCCTTCTACAGTTTTTCTAAACAAAATATAAACCAAAAGCAATCTCGACTATCTGCCACAGAACAGAAACATGCAAACAAAAATCACAAAAAACATTTCACTTTTAAAGCGTATGCTACTATGAAAAATGCTTTGCTTACAGCCTGAAACACTGTAGTTGTTTAGAAAAGAGAATCTTTGAGGAGCACTGAGGGAGGAGGAGAGAAGGCCTCCTTAGCATTCTCCTTCACGGAACCAGTTTTTGCCTTATCAGAGCACTGTTAAACTTGTTAGCCTAGATAAAGCAGTACATTTAAGAGGAAAGAAAACCAGGCGAGAAGAGCATGAGACAGGCTGAAGGAAGTGTGCTCTGGCTGGTGGGCTTCATCATGCCTCCTCAGAGTTCTGACCAGCCCTGACAAGCATGGAAGAACAAAGGATATTTGCACCACCTAATTACCATGCCATGTGTGGCCTGAACCTTACTAAAAGAAATAAAAGCCCCCAAATCCTCACGTCTGCAGAAAATATTTGAAATGAAAGACCCAAATTTACAAGAAGTTTTTTAGTTCATTCTGTAACTACCCCCAAAGGGATTAATTAAAGAAAAACACATAACAGGTGATGCCTTTCAGTTTTAGAAACTTTAGTGCCTGTATACATGTCCAAGTAGAGTAGAAGGCGGCACTGCGGTAGTTTTCCTCTTAGGTAGCACAACCCTGAACTGTGCTGCAACCCCGAGCAGCAGCCCTCCCTGCCATCCTGGGTGTGATCAGCTCCCTGCCCTCTGTCCTGGGGAACAATCAGTTTCTAATGAGCTCTTTTGCAGCCATGGCTGCTCCCAACCTTAAGAGAAGCTTGACGTTAAATTATATTTTCTAAATCTGTTTCTTTTAAGTGGCCAAAGGGCTTCATAAACAAAATATATTTTCTGTTGATAGTTGAGCAGTAACCAGCAAACAGCATGTTTCAAGAAGGCAAATTAACATTTGTTTCAGGAAGAAGTATATTTTATATTATTTGTGCTCTGGGGCTGTAACTAATCACAAATTCCAAAGATTATGTACTTATATAAAGCTTCTAGAACAGTTGTCCTTTTCACAAAGTGAGAATAGGAAAAACCTCTTAACAATGATAATAAACATGGAAATAAAAAGTAATACAGAAGAAAGAGATTCTCCTGTTTATTGCTTTCTTTTTTACGAAGTTGGACTTTCTGTTCCTTGAATATAACAGGAGTCCTATGTTTCCAAATAGAGCCCTTGGGAAGTTTGTAATTATGTCCATCATTGTGACAATAGAACATGACAAGTGAGCACACTGGTGAGCACCATAGACCAGGACTGGGAGTGAAACTAAATGACAGAGACACATTATATTTTAGCAATAGAAATGCATTGCGCAAACAGCTAACTGTTTTTAAAGTTATTTCAAGATGCCACTTGTTATCAAGAAACAGATTGATATGAGAGCATTTTAACCTCTCGGATTATCAACAACAAAATCAGGTAATTCTCAGTACTAGTGAGATGTTACAGTGTTGGTGGTATAGAGCTGACCATAGCTGCCTTTCAATACTAGTGAGAACCTGAAGACATAGTTTATATCATGTGGTCAGAGAAGAATCTGGTGTAGTCCAGTCCTCGTGAAACACAGTCAACAATATTTATCAAAAGTCACACAAACATTACATGCCTCCACCTTAATTCTCTAGCTGAAATATGAAAATTGAGACATAGTATACATGAAGATGCAGGATACTAAATCCAAGTGACTTCTTGCATTTTTCACTCCAAACATTATCTTGAATGGTACTGAGTACTTGATATGATGGAAGAAATTTTGTTCAATTGAAAAATTCCAAGTTAGAATACTTAGGTTATGAAATATTTAATAGGAATTCTTTGTGCATATCTGTATGTATGTGTTACTGTGTGTTTGTCTGTATATCCGTGTATGTGTACATATGTATGTGCCAGTACAAAAATGCACACGTGTACATGCATGCAATAAGTAGAGGTCAGTGTCAGATGTCTTTTTCTGTTGCTCTGAGCTTTACTTTTTGAGATGGAGTGTTTCTCACTGAATCTGGAGCTCACAGCTTCGCTAGAATGGCCAGCCAACAAATCCTTGAGACCTTCCTTGTCTCTGCCTGCCTAGTGCTGGGATCATAGCTGAACACTGTCATGCTTGGCTTTCTACATAGTGCTGGGATCTGAACTCAGGTTCTCATGCTGGTGAGGCAGGCACTTGACCCACAAAGCTATCTCTCCAGCCTCAGGAATTCTGTAACTCTTCAAATACCAACCAAGTCCTCTTCCTTTTAAATTATGAAATTTGTTGACATTGCCTAAGGAAACAATCTCAATGCGCGCGCACGTGTGTGTGTGTGTGTGTGTGTGTGTGTGTGTGTGTGTGTGTGTGTGTGTGGTATTATAAAGAAAATTATTTAATTCATTTCAGGAACAAAATTGATGTAATTTATACACTGCATATATATGGCATACCCAAGTTTTTATTGTGGTTTATGTCCCCCTTAGGACCATGTGTTTGAACACTTTCTCCCCAGCTAGTGGTACTGTTTATGGAGAATATGGAACCTTTAGGAGGCAGAGCCTTGCTCTGGGAGAAAGTATGTCACTGAGGATGGCTCTGAGGTTTGATAGCCTGGCCAAATTTGTATGTGGCCTTTACTCAAAGGACATATAACAGTTTTCAGGATTAGCCAGTTGTGGCAATCAGGCTGATAAAATTATTTTGTCTCTTAGCAAGTCATTGAGCACTGAAGCCCAAAGCAACAAGGAACATAGAGCTCAGAAACAGAGAGGGATCCCTGATGCAAGCATCCTGAAGTAGTTGTGGGTAGGGAAAGTTGGGGATGGTAGCAGGAGAGAGTGTGGGTGGTGGGGGTGTGCTGTCCTGAGAGAGCACACTTGCTTACCAAGCACAGGGTATTCTGCTATGATCAGGAAGACAACACACATAATCTGTGAGTCCCAGGAGCACTTCTGTTTACAATTTTGATTTACAGTATCACTGAATAAACTGATTGCATTTAAGTCTGAATATTCCACTACCATATTTGCTTGAACTCAAATTGTCTACATTGGTTTACACTTATTATTGCTTCCCCATTCCCAGGATGTCTATATTAGTCAGTCACCTCCAAATGGTGCTGGAAACAAACACACCCACCTCATCACATCCCTTCCCTCCTCAGAAAAGCCCTCTCCAACAACCAGGCAAAAAATACAAAAATTTAAAGCTATTTTAAAATCCTAATAATGGAAAAGAGAAAGGACTTTGTTTTTTTAAGTTCACTGATCCTCTACATTACGCAGATATATATCATACAACCGAGTTTTACTTTTTCATTCTGATGGAGCATCATGCACTAAGAACTTATTCTGAGTTACTAGAGATAAGAATTCACCCAAAAGTAGGAACCTAGGGTTTCTAAACAGAGAGTAGGCAAGGGTAATTGCAGCTTGCAATTGCCTACCCCATGTAACTACTCTTGCCTTTGTTTCATCTAAGTAATATACTTCTAAAGACAGCAGTAAATGTTTACATAAGGTATTTATTTTAAATGTAAAAGAATTCAGAGACTGAGTACTTATAGGGTAGACTGCTAAAAATATAATTCTAGTGGCTTTATAGAAAGCACTAACTTAAGAAAAAACTATTAGAGGCTAAATAAAGAAAATAAGTTTTTACAATATAAATGCCTCAGTGGCTTACCACAAGGTTTATTTCCTGTATGTGTCACATTCATTTGAGTCACTCAGAGATCTGGATTTCTTCTGTTGACTCCATCATCCCCAGGGCCTTCAGAGCCTCTATATCACACTGATGAGTGATGGGAGAGAACAGATGTCAAATAATATATATGATTTTAGAAGTCAAGAGATGTTTCCAACATATTCTAACTCAAAATCATTTTGTATGGATACATACTAACACCTAGTTTTTAAGTAGATCTGTATAAAGAGATACACTAGATAATTAACAACACTAAGAATGAATTTTAATGTTAAGATAAAACACACACACACACACACACACACACACACACACACACATTACAAGGTTGGTAAATGACTGAAATATTGTTATACCAAAGGTCCTTTCAAGTAAAGACTCTGTGACCTAGGTCTGATTCCCTAATGTTCCTCGGTGCCAAGTAAATCTTTAGCCTTATATTCATGTGCTGTAACCAAGAGTGTCAGTGTTGGCAAAGAAAAGGTTGTGGGAATGTTGGGACATTGATTTCCGCACACCTCGACAAAACTAAGAGTAGCCATGCAACCATTAGCCCTGGCCTTGGTGTGAAGGGACAGATTATCAACTCCTGTACATGCTCTGAATTGGAAACAGTAAAGGAACTGTAAGAAATGGATATAGACACTCTCTTTCATTGATTGTGTATTAAATATAACACAATCAAAAGTTTACCTTTGTACAGATCATCAAGTTTGTTAAAATCTAGATATATTTATGGAAAAGTAAAGCAAGGATTAAACGCCATTGAATATACTCTCTGAGTGTGAAATTTTGCAATAGTCCCTAGTTTCTGAAATGTCTCTAGCACGTTTTTGACTCAAAAAAAATATAGACACCTGAACAGCAGTTATCTTAAATTTAGGTGATAAGTCCTAACCTTAGCACCTCAGATAAGGATGCACTTGGAAACAGAGTTTAAAGAGGTGATTAAATTAAATGAGATCATTTGAATGGGGCATAGTCGTATATGATTCTGTCATGATGATTAGGACACATACACACAGAAAGAATAATCATGAAAAGACACAGTAACAAGACAATTATCAAAAAACTAAGAAAACTCTCAGAAAAAAAAATGGACCTGGAAAATACTTTGATTTCCTACTTCTAGCTTCCATAATGGAGACAGGGGGATTTCTGAGTTAAAAACAACTGTGTGGTACTATGCTATGCAAGCCTTAGCAAACTAGTACATCTGTGTTTACTAAAATTCTACACCTCAGCACTTCCACACATATGTTCTTCCAAGTCCTGGAGCTTTGTTGTTTTTCTCTAGAATAGTTTAGGAGAATGTTGTGTGAACCAAACCAGTCATCCTTTCCAGGGTTTTTCCTCTTTTCTTTGAAACCATCCTAAGATAAGAATGTAAGTAGCTAAAGGTGAGCATAGCACATATGTCAAGTAGAATCAGAGTGTACTAAAGCATAAGATCATGTTCCCACTGTGAATCCCCTGTACCATTTGGTCATAAGAATGACACCAGAGGGATCATTCTAGAAGAGTACTCGTGGCAGGTAAGGGCACACTCTACAGATCTCCTCAGAGAGACCTTGAGTGCATGTCTCCAAGTCATAACTTTGTGAGATATGGTTCACTACAAAGAACCAAAACAGCGACTTGCAAAGAGAAAGAAGCTGAGAATGTTTGAGCCTGTGTTACTTAGGAGGGCCTTATTATTTGGTCTTATTATTACCCAATAACCAAAAGAAAATTTCTAAAGATGAAAAATTTTACTGACACTGCAGAGCTTTCCAAAGTGACCCCATGGGACCATAGCTTCAGTAGATTCACCTCAGTAGAAGAGTTCTGTGTTCAAATGGATTTGGAAACTACTGCACTCTATTACAGCCTTCAGGACTCACAAGCCCCAAACCTCCCTAATGAAACCCTTATTAGAATTACTCATAAGCACTCTGTGATTCACATCTGGGGACAATAGCTTTGATGAGAAGTCATGAAAAGCTCTCACTAGACAATGATGGAGCATATAGATGTGCATAGTAGAGTAGGAGCCCAAGGGAGCTGATGTTCTCTGCCTTAAATAACATTTAGCTATTTTGAGCAAAGCTGTGTATTTTGCATACCCAAATATATTACCTCTTTTTCTCAAAAAGTGTATTTGATCTTTTTCTCAACTAAATATATCACACTAAATACTAAAGCCAAACTCATTAGCCACCCATTATTTATTTATTATACATTATTATTATTTATAAACTATAAATATTATAATTATTTATTTCTAAAGACTTTTTAGCAGTTGCAGTAAAATACCAGCCTCCCTGAGCTGGGTTAAGAGGCAGGAAGATCAAAGAGGGAACCTTCTATAAGTGTGATTTGACTCCTTATTCCTGAGAAAGCCAAGCAGGTCCTTGAAAAAAGGATGACAGGCTAGGAGAGATTTGGCTGTACTCATTGGCAACCATTTAATTTTTGTGATTGCCTATGCCAGAAACAATCAGCCAAACCATGTGCATTTCAAACAGAAAGGGCCTGATGTAAGTGGGTATGAAGGTAGGTGGGAAGTTAGCCTTTTCAAATAAATTGTTAGTTCATTTGTATAATAATTTCTTTTTTGTTTAATAATTTAATTTGGAGAATTTCCTTACCAACAGTAAATACACAGCAAAGCAGATATGTTTGAGATCTGATATTAATGTTAAACTAATTTTATCAATTTAAAAATAATTCATTTTAATTTTTAAAGAACTTGACCTTAAGTGTTTATTCATTGGTAACTAAAAAAAAAAATGGGAATCATCAAAGATGAGAAATAGACTCCAGATGATTACCACAGTGGAATAGGCAGAATACTAACAATTTCTAAATGAAAGAGATTGAGTTGCTTCATTATTCTTTATTAACTACAAAGCTCAACAAGCAAATTATCCACTTATCACAGCTGTTTATTTGAGGTTTAAGGGCACTCAGAGGCAACGTGGACCTGTCCCATTTCTTGATAAACATGTCCAGTCCACACCAAACATATCAAATACAATCTGATCTAAGATTCTCAAGCATTTACTACTGCTGAGGAATGAGCATTCTGGGTAACTCCTAGACATCAAACTGCAGTCACTCACTTCCTGGACAGTGAATCTTACACTCATTATTAGCTGGATTTTCTGTGTTTGCACTACAAGCCTTCTTTAGCTGGCTGACATTTGTTTGCAAAAATAAAATGGAAACACTTAACAAACTAGTTTATCTTATCAGGTGCCATGTTCCAGGCAGCAGGAATCCACCTAAGCTACATCCTGGAGATATGTCCATTCTCTGGCTCCTTGGAATGGGGCTGCCAGGAAACTTAATCCATGCTGGCTTGACCAGCTTCTGCTTTGGCTTCAAACACACGTAAAGTACTTGCTATTACTGGACACGCTTCAGGAGACAGTAAGTGCCTGGCAACTGCTAAGCGGGCATATTCTCCTCCCTGAATAAGAGCAGTTCTGTGGAACAGGATGGGAAATAAACAATAAAGTCAGGTAGCTTAAACGTTAATCTTTTTAAATACAGAACCTTGGTGAAGTGCAAAAGAATATTCTCTGATTATTAACTTCTTACACTCTCTGAACTTTCCATCTTAAAGAGCTCTTAATTTGAAGTGAACTTCTAGTGGAAAGGAAATGGCAATCATCTTTCCAGAGGAGAGAATGAATGGTAGAGTCATCAGAACAGGACTGAAGTGGATAGAAATACTACTTGAAATGACTGCTGCCTTCTCCAGAAAGGATCATTAACATTTACATAAATGTATAGTCCTCATTTTGTTTCCAAATTTAGGTTTGATCGGGACCAACAGAACACATAATTAGAAGGGCAGCCTCTGAACATCAGTATCTGCTTTCAATTTACTTTGATCATTTACTTACAAGCACAAAAGAAATCCTATAAAGTGATTTTTCCCAATGTCTCCTTTGTGTTTATTTCCCTCAGGCCTACTCCCAGGGATCCAGTTTACAGTAATTCTTCCCCCAGTCCAGAGTGTGGACCAAGCTCCCCTGTTTCTAAGCTGTGTGACAGCAGTGACAATGCTCAACATCTCTGACCCTCTACTTTCTTGGTTATGATACTAAAACACCAATGATTCTCTAACAGAGCTACTTTGAGGATTAAATTAAATAAGCATCTAAATACAATGCAAGAAGGCAATTACATTCCACGTTAACATACTGTGAACATTTTTTAAAAGTAAATAACAATAAAAATCAAGTTGATCTACAAAGAAGGGCAAAAAGTACATAGAGATGTTTAAAGCATGAAACAATAAGGAAATAACTGCCATAAGAATCTTAGGAAGTCAGGGGTTGGTGAGATGGTTCCATGGTTAAAGGTGCTTGCCAGCAAGCCTAATGTCCTGAGTGCTGTGCCCAGATCGCGAACCCCCAGAGAGACCACCGAAAGACAAGCATACCAAAATGCAAAAGCAAGGCTTTAATTCAGGATATTCAGGAGCAATACAAGCCTAGGCAGGGACTTCGTTCAACACATCCAATGCAGTGGAGGCTGGAGGAAGTGCCCACCTCTTGCAAGCTCAGTTTTTAAAGGCAAAAAACCACAAGGTTACATCATTTAGGGGTGCTAGTATGGGTACAATTCTGATTGGCTCGCTTCTAGAGGCTTTCTAGAAATCATGGCTTAATTTTACTTCTAAGGGGGTGGTTGCCCGCCACCATTTCTCATTGGCTGCCCTCAGGTGAGGACATTTCTGTGGTCAGTTACCCTGGAAACCAGGGAGAGGACATTCCATAGTCTGGCAGTCATTACCTCGTGACTACCTTGTGACTCTGTACGTTTACACTTCCTAGTTTCTGGAATCTGGACTGACTGGTTTCAGTAACTAAAGGCCTATTCCTAAAAGGAGAAATCTTAAGCCTTAGTTTTAGGGTGAAAGCATTTTGGTCTTATTTCTAAGATGGCTCATTTTGGTCTCACACTGAGTTCAGTCTCCTGAACCCACATGGTGGAAGGAGCCAGCCAATCCCTGAAAGTTTCTTCTGACAACCTCCAAAACACACACAAAATGTCATATGTGCACACACACACACACACACACACACACACAC